TGTTGGCTGTGGGCTAAATAATGGCCAGGTCACCAGGAGGATTTCCTTTCTCCTTCAAATCATGCTGTGGCATCCTTTACATTCAACTTCAAAGGACATACGGGGTTTCAGTTTAACATCTCATCAAAATGGTAATGATCTGTGGCACTGCAGCACTTTCCTCAGTCCTGCACTGGATGTTGCATTCATATCTCTGAAGTGGGGCCTGAGCTTACAATCTGCTGTCTAATGACACCTAGGTCCATGATTTTGATTCTATACATAGCTCCCAAGGAACCATTATTTGCACATAGACAGCCCATGGAGCAAAAGCATGGAAACTCTCACAACAGAACGAAAAGACAGCTATCCTTTTTGAAGACTGATCTCATCGTTTTCAGTTCTGAACACAGCACAGATAAAATATAAATGTGCATCCTTGTAACAAAAGTTGGCTCCTATATTAAGGTAGCTGTATAACAGGTTCACCATGGTTCCTCACCTTGCTGACTGCTTGCAAAGCCTTTTTGGCATGTTCATACTCTGGGGACTCTTTCGGCGTTTTCTGGCAAATGGTCTGCAAAGAGAATTTCAGGGTGTGACACATGAGGCAGCACATTTTCTTTCTGAACAAGTGCCGTGTTTCAACAGCCGTTATCCTATTCGGGAAAATCAAAGATCAACAGACCATTATTCATTAACAACATCAATCGGTCCAGTGGGAAAGAGAGCAGCTGTGGGATATTGTGGCACAGGGGGATAGCGCAGAAATATGGTGTGGAATTAGGCAATTTGCCATGGAGGAAGTTCACGGGGGGCGCGCACAGAGGCTCAGTGGTTAGTACTGCCTCCTCAGAGCCCCAGGAACCTGGGCTCGATTCCACTCTCGGGCAACTTTCTGTGTGGAGTTTACACTTATGCCCCGTGTCTGCTTGGGTTTCTGCCAGGTGCCCCAGTTTCCTCCCGCAGTCCAAAGATGTGCAGGTTAGGTGGATGTTCCATGGGAAATGCAGGGTTACAAGGATTGGGGTGGGTCTGGGTGGATGGTCTTTGAAGGGATGGCATGGGCTTGATGGACTGAATGGCCTGCTTCCACACTACGATTCTATTCTGTGATCTAGAATGGCAGAGCAGGCTCAAGCAGCTGAATGGCCTATTCCTGCTCCTCTATTTCAAACCACCCCACCCAACTATGACATCTATTTGATTTTTTGTATATTTTTCTTGGTTTGAGACTTCCACTGCTGGATCTAAAAGACTATTCATGATTTGGCCAGCATTCACATTAAGAAGAGTTTATTTGTTTTGAGCTGTAAGCATCTGATTCAAGCTAGCAACTTTTTAAAATCATTGTAGCTGCATTTCCAACATTTCCGGTTTTTCTTCAGGCATACACCATCTGCAATGTGTTGTAAATATCTACCAATCCTAGTTCTTGTTTTGACAATTGTCCTCTAGTCTCAATAGCTTTTGTCTGAGGGCGGAGGGTTAAGAATGTTCCCGATTTCCACAATCCTTTATTGTACAAATGCTGCCTGACTTCACCCCTGGACAACGTTGCTTAAGTTTTATGGTATCACCTCCTTTGTTCTTCAACATAAATGTGAGGTGTTGCATTTGGGAAAGGCAAATCAGGGCAGGACTTATACATTTAATGGTAGGGTCCTGCAGAGTCTTGCCAAACAAGGAAACCTTGGAGTGCAAGTTCATGGTTCCTTGAAATCCCAGGCAGATAGGGTAGTGGATAAGATATTTGGTACACTTGCCTTATTGGTCAGTGTACTGAATAGAGGAGTTGGGATGTCATGTTGCAACTGTACAGGACATTGGTTAGGCCACTTTTGCAATACTGCATTCAATTCTGGTCTCCCTTCTATAGGAAAGATGTTGTTAAATTTGAAAGGGTACAGAAAAGATTTAAAAGCCTAGGTTGGAGTGTTTGAGCTACAGGGAGAGTCTGGTTAGGCTGGGGCCATTCTCCTTGGAGTGTCAGAGGCTGAGGGGTGACCTTACAGAGGTTTATAAAATCGTGAGGGGCATGGATAGGGTGAGTAGCCAAGGTCTTTTTCCCCAGGGTCTTGGATCCAGAACTAGAGGGCACAGTTTAAAGGTGAGGGGGACAAAATTTAAAAGGACCTAAGGGGCAATCTTTTCACACAGAGGGTGGTGCATGTATGGAATTAGCTGCCAGAAGAATGTAGAGGCTTGCACAATTACAACATTTAAAAGGCTTTTGGATGGGTACAGGTAGTTCTACTACAACGCGTGTTTTTATAACGCAAATTGTCTGTAACACGATTGATGATTAGTGGACGCTGTTTGGATAATGCAAATTTTCTGCTGTACAGGTATAGTAATTTTCTATAGGAATTTCCCTATAACACGATTTTCTATGACAATTTTCTACAGCGCGAGGTCACACAAGAACGCAACAGTTGCATAAAAGGAGAACTACCCGTACTAGGAATGATTTAGGGGGATATGGGGGAAATGCTGGGAAATGGGACTAGGTTAATTTAGGATATCTGGTCGGCACGGACAAGTTGGACCCAAGGGTCTGTTGCCGTGCTGCGCAACTGTATGACTCGAAGTATTCAAGTGTTCTTAAGGATTTCAAGCAAACAACGTAATGGGAGAAGGGAACAGGGGATCGTAGTCTGTTTTTGCCACTTAATGAAGGCAGGGAGTATTTTAGGTCAGTTCTTACGTCCATCAGCAGAGGAAGCCTCGTGACCCGCTGCATTGGGAGGATGAGAAATGAAATCATGGGCAGGTTCCTGCACTCAGGATGGGCTTCAATCTTCGTCAGGACTTCTTTGAAGTTTGGATTTGTATTACTGGAGAAGGGGGAAACACAACAGAAAAAAAAAATTGCAAAGACAACAGAGAGCAATGGACATGAAAACACGATCACCACCCAAAGCATCTCATTATATTTCAATGTTAAAAATCATTTGCATCACACTGAAATAATCCAGCAGTTTCCTGCTGCCTGGTCACCTTTGTAATCGACAAACACTTCAGTTTCAGAGCAGTTATCCATCAATTTGTGTCTATACTGGCCAGCATGTGTTAACATTAATTTATAACCAGAACCGTTCATATGAAAGATCTGATGAGAACCAGAATTACATACATAGAGAGTTAGCTCACAAGCCCTGTTTAACACATGCAGATAGATTTTCTTGGGATTGCCTTTTAAGGTTTAAGGAGCTTGATGGTAGACAGGGAGCGAGTGTAGTGACTGGGAGGAGAAATTAATGCCCATTTAAGGGACTTTTCCCATCACTGTGAGGATTTTACCTGCAGTGCGGAGATAGAATGTTGGTACTAAAAATGTAGCCTGATAGGTATAACTTGGAGGCCGGACAAGTTGGGTTAATGGGGCTGGGAGGTAGTGAAGAGCTGCTGTTTTGGGTCCTTGACTCCAGCGTACTTCCACTCCCTTCACCAACATACTTTTCCTCCCAAACTTCAAATTCTCTTCCTAGATCTTTCACCACATTCCACACATCATCCCTTCCCAAGCCAGAACCCATCAGCCTCGTCAGAGTGAGAGCCCAGACTGACCTCTGTGTCTGGGCTGCTTTGTTGACCACCTTCTTTAGAGGCTCTTGTAGTTCCAGCAGTGATCCTCAACTAGATCCCAACAGATGATCTCAAGCTCCCTCTAACCCTTGCAGTCCCAGAATTGAGCTCCCTTTACTTGACTTCAGTTCAAGATCATTCATCCCAGCAGACTGAGGCTCCCTTAACTTAATCCTAATAAACACAATTTTCCATGACTGTATAAGAGCTCATGACCCCACAGGCTTGATTCCCATCCCTTCAATCCAGCATATCTAAGCTCTCACACTTTGGTCCAAACCCTCCTCCACTCTAACCCACTAAACTCAATATTCCTATATGTATACGCTACAGTTCAATATGTTTTATTCTAACAGGCTCAACCTCTGTCCACTTGAACTTACATTGTTCACCCAAGTAATTGCCAAAGGCCCACCAACAACAAAGGAATGAGGAGAAATGTTTTATATACACAACACAGCCAGAATTCTTGACATACTCACAGGAGTTTCTCAAGTGTGCGTTGCTGGTAGATCTCATTGGAGCAATACGTTACATAGGGGTCAAAGGTACATGTGGCATGTTTCTCAACAATATCACTGATATCAGGTATCAGGGCATTCTGTTGGTATCTGGCCTCAAGCTCCTTGAAGAACCTGTCAAAGCAATACAACAAAAGATCTCTAATCCAGGGGTACAAATGGAGTTATCATCCTGTATAAACAGTTGCTCCTGTGTTAGTTTAAGAACCATTCCTGCCACTCCACTTAACATTACTTCCAGCACCACAATCTCCAAATCCACTCCCCTTCCCACTCCCAACTGCAACTTGGGCAGTGCAGAATCTTTCATTCTGGGTAAGTCCTGTCTCTACTGAACAAGGTACATGTTCTGAGGTTCCGGTTGACAATGGGCAGAGATGGCCTGACTGCTCCAGTCATACTAATAAAAATAAAGACAACTTAATATACTCTCTGAAGGACAGTAGGTAGGATGAACAGAGCAATTGAGCAGCATCTCACAATGCCATAATAAATTGTAAATTAGGTGTTAATTGTGGCTCAGTAATAGCACTTATTCTGCCTGAGAAGAAACACACATGGGATTGAATATCATCAATAAAAAAACGCTTGGACTCATAGCTGATTTTCTGAAGAAAGGTCTAGGCCCGAAACATCAGCTTTCCTGCTCCTCTGATGCTGCTTGTACTGCTGTGTTCATCCAGCTCTACACCTTGTTATCTTGAACTCATAGCTGATGACTGGTTGCTTATTTCACCCCATTAAAATCAGTAGCCCTACCTTATTGTACAGCCAGTGCAATTTTACACAACTTTGCAATTTTACTAATGAAGGTTTATATTTTCAGAAAAAGTGAACCGCTGTCTTTAAGAACAAACAAGAAATTAAATTCCTGCTTTTCTTTTATGCTCTGTCATCCAGACAGCTCATTCAGTAACAATTGCTACCAAGGAGATGGCAAGGATCGACAAGGAGAAAAGACATATTTGAATTCAAAATAATTGCCCAAAGAAGCAGAGGGGGAGAAAGGAGTAATATTTATTTTTATGTAGCAAGTTCAGATCTGGAACGCATTGCCTGAAGCTGACTCTAAAGGCACTTCAGAAAGGAAACCAGATAAATACTTTACTTGAAGTAAAATGGTTCAGCATTCTAAGAGAAACAGAATGAGATTGATAGGGAGCTCATTCAAACAGTAGGCACTATCTAGCAAGATGGACTAAATGATCTCATTCAGTGCTGTAGCTGATTTTTAACTTGAAAAATCAATTTCCCAATGCTTTATGAAAGTGTTTGTTAACCTCTGTAAATGTTTGTTCTTAAAGCCAATTTTCTTCCATTTTGAATTCAATGAAAAGAATTCCACTATTACCTCCTGTTCAACAGCAAACGTTCGTAAAATATTAAATTCCATAACTGCGAAATTCTGTGAATCTCATTCTGTCATTGGGACATAATTTCTAACTGTTTCCACACTGCAGGGACCGTTATTAATATACAAGATGCAAGCAACTTTCTTTTATAAAGCTGCCTTTAGAAGCACCTCTATTAACAGCAGAGCACATGTTAGTGCTAGGCCAGAGACAGGGCCTAAAAAGGGCTGAAGACGAAATGACACGAAGCATTGTGATGGAATTTATGGTCCAAGGTTGCAAACCCTTCAGGATTCCTGGAATCTTAGGGCAGCTTGGTTACGTGGTGCAATGTCGGCAAAACTAAAGAACTGATCATCGACTCCAGAAAGAAAGGAGGAGAACACGCCCCCATCTACATCAACGGAACTGAGCTTGAGAGAGTGAAGAGAATCAAGTTCCTAGGAGTGACGATAACCAACAATTTGTCTTGGACTTCCCACGTAAATGCGACAATCATGAAGGCACAACAACGCCTCTTCTTCCTCAGAGATAATAGGAACTGCAGATGCTGGATAATTTGAGATAACAAGGTGTAGAGCTGGATGAGCACAGCAGGCCAAGCAGCATCAGAGGAGCAGGAAAGCTGACGTTTCGGGCCTAGATCCTTCTTCAGAAAAATCTGAATCTATTGATCCTTGTTCTGTGCTTTTTCCATAGTATAATTGTGGTCAATTAAATTACACTTCAACAGCTTTATGGTTTTAAAGCATTTGGGAGGATCATGTGCCTTTCTTTCTCTGAAACCTTACTGTGGGACCAAGTCCAATGGAGTCCCTCATGAGGAAACAGTTTCTACCAACCTCATTAAATTATTTAATTGTCATAAATAACTCAAGTAGGCGAACATTTTTCCTCAAATCCCATGATTCTTCTCCCTGTATATCCTGAAATGAGCCTGAGCCCACTGTCTTTGTAGGCACTTGTCATGAGGTAGTTCGTGATCTAATAACTGAGTGTAAAAGCAGACTTGCAACATCACCTATTGCTCATCAACTGACAATCATGAACCCTTGTCATGTGTAGATTTAAAGTATATTTTTAATATTTCACCAATCAGTGCAAGTTGTTATTCACTGATTATTCTATAAAAACAGCTTATAACTGAAGGAACTTAATCAAAGTTTTGTGTGATTATAGAAACATAAAAGATAGGAGCAGAGGGAGGCCATTTGGCCCTTTGAGCCTGCTCCACCATTCATCACGATCATGGCTGATAATCCAACTCAACAGCCTAATCCTGTTTTCTCCCCATAACCTTTGGTCCCATTCGGCCCAGGTGCTATATCTAGCTGCCTCTTGAATACATTCAATGGTCATGAATTCCACAGGCTTATCATTCTTTGGGTGAAGAAACGTCTCCTCATCTCCATCCTAAATCGTCTACCCTGAATCCTCAGACTGTGACCCCTGGTTCTGGACACACCCACCATCGGGATCATCCTCCCTGCATCTATCCTGCTTAGTCCTGTTAGAATTTTATAAGTCTCTATGAGATCCCCCCTCCTTCATCTGAATTCCAGCAAAAACAATCCCTACCTAGTCAATCTCTCCTCGTACGTCAGACCACCATCCCCAGAATCAGCCTGGTAAACCTTCGCTGCACTCCCTCAAGAGCAAGAGCATCCTTCCTCAGAAAAGGAGACCAAAACTGCACACAACATTCCAGGTGTAGTCTCACCAAGGCCCTGTACAACTGCAACAACACATCCCAGCTCCTGTACTTGAAACCTCTCACAGTGAAGGCCAACACACCATATACCTTCTTTACCGCCTGCTGCACCTGCATGCTTACCTTCAGTGACTGGTGCACAAGGACACCCAGGTCCCACTGCACACTCCCCTCTCCCAATTTACAGCTATTGAGGTAGTAATCTGCCTTCTTGTTTTTGCTTCCAAAGTGAATAATCTCACATTTATCCAAATTATACTGCATCTGCCTCTGATTTGCTCCCTCACCCAACCTGTCCAGATTGTGCTAAAGGATCTCTGCATCCTCGTCACAGTTCACCTTCCCACCCAACTTGGTATCATCTGCAAACTTTGCGATGTTACATTTTGTTTCATCCAAATCATTAATATATATTGTGAATAGCGTCTCAATATATGTCCATTTCAATACACTCCCCCCGATCCCATGTGCTTTAATCTTGCACAATGATCTCTTATGCAGGACTTTGCCAAATGTTTTCTTAAAGTCCAAAGTATCAAAGAAACAGCAGGTTTTGTGAATGAAGTCAAGGTAAAAGTGGGTTCAATCTAATTTGCACATAAATCCACCCGTCAATCAATTTCTGTAAATTCCTCTCTGCAACGGCAACAACACGTAGATTTCAGAACAGATAAGATCCACCATCAGGACTTGGAACAAAGAGATAGTAAGAACTGCTGATGCTGCAGTCAGAGATAACACAGTATGGAGCTGGAGGAGATAGTAGGAACTGCAGATGCTGGAGAATCCGAGACAACAAGGTGCAGGGCTGGATGAACACAGCAGGCCAAGCAGCATCATAGGAGCAGAGAGGCTGACGTTTCGGGCCTAGACCCTTCAGCAGAAAAGGGGGAGAGGAAGGGGGTTCTGAAATAAATAGGGAGAGAGTGGGAGGTGGATAGAAGGTGGATAGAGGAGAGGATAGGTGGAGAGGAAACAAACAGGTCGAAGAGGCGGGGATGGAGCCAGTAAAGGTGAGTGTAGGTGGGGAGTTAGGAAGGGGATAGGTCAGTCCAGGGAGGACGGACAGGTCAAGGGGGCGGGATGAGGTTGGTTGGTAGGAGATGGAGGTGAGACTTGAGGTGGGAGGAGGGGATAGGTGGGAGGAAGAACAGGTTAGGGAGGCAGGGACGAGCTGGACTGGTTTTGGGATGCGGTAGGGGGAGGGGAGATTTTGAAACTTGTGAAATCCACATTGATACCATTGGACTGCAGGGTTCCCAAGCGGAATATGAGTTGCTGTTCCTGCAACCTTCGGGTGGCGTCGTTGTGGCACTGCAGGAGGCCCAGGATGGACATGTCGTCTGAGGAATGGGAGGGGGAGTTGAAATGGTTCGCGACTGGGAGGTGCAGTTGTTTATTGCGAACCGAGCGTAGGTGTTCTGCAAAGCGGTCCCCGAGC